TCTAATACGTTAAATTGTCTAGCAAATAGTAGTCGTGTATGTATCGAGAAAAAAATATACTATTTGTGGCATTTAGTACATAATCAACAATGAATAATTCGGTTCTAGTGGTTTTTGTTTAGCCATGCTTTTAAATTCATTCATCCATACATAGAATATTAAAATTTTCAAGGCCATTTGCATGTTTTGCTTAATTGATAAGTATTAATTTTCTATTCTTATCGTATTATTATTATATAAAAAATACTTTTTTATTATTGTGTTCACTTGAAATTTAATTTCTTTTAATAATTATTTATTTTATTGATTATGTCCACCTTAATATTTTATTTGTGTACACCCCATATATCTAGTTAATATATGTGTCCACTTTTATCCATCATTGTCCCAAATTCCCATCTTCCCTTTTTTGATGAAGACTCCTTACCAAAACTTTATTTTTGGTCTGTCTTAACAATACTTGGCTCTATTGGAATAAAAATATAGTTTTTTTTTGCTTAAACTACACGAGTGACCACCAAACTATAGTCATTAACCATTTTGACCATTAACGTTTAAAAACGATCAAACAAACCACCCAACTACTTAAATGATTTAATCTAACTATTGGTCATTAATTTTTAACACAAGTGATTATGTGACCGTTAATATAGTTGACATAATTATATATTTAGTCCTTACTATTTATGCATTATATCAATTTAGCCATTATTTTAATTCATTCAAAAAATTAATCTTTCAATCTGGAGGTGTCACGTGTCACCGCCTGTGTTAATTTTAATATTTTAATTAAATAAAATTTTAACTAATCAAGTGGTGTCACGTGTCACCACTTGTGTAAAGGGGAAAATTTAGAATAGAAAGTGGTGACACGTTTCAACAAATTGAAATGGTTTGGTTCAGTGTTTCTAAGCACTTAACCATCTCTTGAATGGCACCCCTTGGAAGCTGTGCTCCTGACCAGGGATCGACTAGTAGCTTTGGAATGAATATTGATGAGGTTTATCCCTTTAGCGACCATGAAAAAGAATCAAGTGACAGTCACTTTTTTTTCCTGGTGAATTTGGCTAGATGTTTTGAAGCTTTGGCTCTCATCACTCGCACTCTTCGCATAACCTAGAATGCCTATAATCTACTTATGGAAAGAGAGGAAACAAGACTTTCGAAAATTATACTCCTCTACCTCAAAAAAATTAAGGAGACAGTTGGTAACATTTGGATTATGATGTTCATTGACAAATCATTCATTTTGATTTGAGTTGAGAACCGTAACCGGTGATCTATGATGTATTTATAAACGATCGAAGTCATTAGTGTTAATGTTAGTGTCAGGTTTAGAATCATTATGATTATTTGTAAGTTAACAAGTTAGATAAATTTGTCCGTCGAACATTAGATTATAGATCATGTAAGTCTACTCAAAGTCATATAAAAAACTTATAATTGTCTAAAAATATAAAATTCTGAAGAAAAAAAATTCATAGATTTCAACACAATTCAACTTGCTACTCATAACTCTAGTCATGCTGCTGACTTGTTACTTTGGGCCTTAAATTTTGGTGGTGGGGAACAATCATAATTTGGGGTGACACATAATTGATTTTGAAATAGGGTTAAACGTCAAAAATGTGCTCAACGTATGTCTTTTTTTTTAGTTTGGTGCTTAATTTTTTTTGTTCTAATTTAGTGCCTAATATTTCATTCCGAAACTCATTTTGGGTTTGATCGTGACAGACCATTAATTTTGGCCGTTAAATTCCTCGTGCCATTATTCTTTCTTTGTTTTCCTTCTCCCATCGTGCATCGTTCCCATCTTTCAAAAGGGTCAACGTCGTTCACGTCGTGGTTCATTACCGGTGAAGCCATCCATTGCCCTGTCATTCCCACGTTGCGATCATCGTTCACTTTTTCTTGTTAATAAATTCGTGAGTTACGCAGTGGCGGATCTAGAAATTAAAAAATAGGGGTCCAAAATTTTAATATCCTATTCTAAAAAAAATTGGGTATGCAAATTTTCTTATTTTTTTCTATTCCTAATAACAAATTAAACTAAATTTAACACTTTTCTCAAAATAATGGGTGTGCAATGGCTCCCTTAGAGAGCCATGCACATCCGCCCCTGGAGTTACGCCGCCGCCACACTTCGAGCTCGTGGCTGTTCAATGGTGGCTTCGTGAGGAAGAGTTAAACTAGTGTGTTCTCTCTTGTTGGGGTGCTGCTACCATCGTTTGACAACACTGGTTTCACACATGTGGACTGTTGTTATTCTTGCTATGCTACTGCCGACCGTTTAATTCGTTCTCATTGTTGGGGCTCGTGTGTGGGAGGTCGAACCGACCAGTTATGGCCGCACTTCGTTTTTTGTTATCGTGTGTGGAAGAGTTATGGCTCGTGTGTGGCTTTGTGTGTATGAAAAGGTTTCATGGTTACTACGGTTAAATGGTTTGTTGTCTATGGAGGTTTCGGGGTTCAATCGGAGAGCATTGGAGTATGAAAAGGAGAAATAGCAGCCGGGGGAGTTGAGCCATGGAGGGATGTTGGAGAGTGACGGGGAAGAGAATGAAGGGGAAGGGGAAGAGATGGAATTAATTTATTATTATTATTATTATAAAATTTATTTTTTAATATTAAATAAATGTCATGTGGCATTTAACGGCTGAAATTAACGGTCTGTCACGGTCAGACCCAAATTGAATTACGGAATAAAACATTAGACACCAAATTAAAACAAAAAAAACGTTAGACACCAAACTGGAGAAAATGACATACGTCGGACACCTTTTCGACGTTTAAGCCTTTGAAATATCTAGTTGAAGTGGAAGAGAGACCATCAGCCAATGAAGTGGAAGGTTTTCAGCGAATAGCAAAGCAGTCCAAGATTCGAACTTCATTGGATGTTGTTTCTCACTAATTAACCAATAAGATTTAATTTTCATTTTTTAAGCATCCGTTAACGTGAAGTATTCAGGAGATTAGGTGAAATACGTGACTAGTATAATGTATAACAATGTGAATAAACAAATGCAGACTCGGATCTGAATAAGAATGATTGAATAATAAAATGATGCTTTGAACAAAGCAAATCCCAGCTACGGGATACTGGAAAGGAAAAAGAAACAGAAGAAAAAGAACAAAACATTCTTGTAATTTTACCTCCATCCACAGAATAAATAGGCTAAAATTAAGGGTTGTTGTGATCACATGATTGCAGCAGCACATGGACATGGTGGTATAGGTTAAGGTTTAGATGAGCTTACCTGTCACCGCCATCATCATCGTATCTGCACACCACTTCTCCTCTTTCCAATGTTCCCAACATTCAAACATCCAGGCCTCACGTGCTCTTTATTCTTCTCTCACCAAATGTGGCTGAAAAGCAATAATACACAAAAACAAATATTATATATGATAATGTTAACCAAAGTAGATTAAAACAGGCAATGTTGGTATTGTAAATTATTTGCGACTTCAAACTTTTACCAGTTTTTCAAATTTTAAAGAGAAGAGAGAGGTTGTGAAGTGGAGGGCATCTTTTCTTTTCTTTTCCAACTTTCTTTCTTTCTCTCCCGACTCAGATTCTGATTTATATTATTTCTTATTTCTTCTGGGTTTTATAAAAAAAATGCTTTGAGGTATTTGTTTGTATGATGAGTGGCCGGTCATGCGAAGCTAATTATGGAAGGCGTTCCAGCTACTGCTATGTCATGTGGTTCCACAGATTTCATGAGCAAAACTAAAAAGCGGGAAATTTCGGTGCATAAGTGAGCTGTGTTTCGTCATGATGAGAACATGTTAGGATTTGTACGCTGTCTTCATATAAACTACTATATATATATGTATATATATCTTTGAACTCAATCCAATGACAAAGGAAAAGGGACGTAGAAGAAATGAAGGAAAGCAAAACCTTTGAGTAGAGTGGAAGGGCAGAGCCTAATATTATGGACAAAAAGAGCCATTGATAATGGTAGTTATATGCCAAATGATGATCAAGCTGACTAGTGGCGAGGGAGAAATGTGTCAAAATGATGTGGTTTATGAAAGCCAAATTGTCCTATTGATTTTACTCATTGACTTCTTATCAGAATTTGCACGGTGACGAGTACTTCTTCAGCTGCCACTGTAAAGTGGTGTCAACTTTTATTTTAGGGTAAATTGCATCAATCATCACTGAACTTTACTCTTTCTCCTATTTCACTCACCGTACTTTAAATCCATTAAAGTTTCTCACTGAATTTAACATAATTGCATTTTTGGTCGCTAATTTGTTTTCTCGATAAACGACGTTATAAATAGGAGTGTTCACTGTTCGGTTAAAAACGAATTAACCGATCGAACCGAAATTTCAGTCTGTTAATAGTTAATGGTTTTTTTCAAATTTCAGTTTCGGTTAATTCGGTTCGATATTGATTAATTAACCGAATTAACCGTATTAACCGAAATGATTAAATATTTAATATTATATATATATATATTATTTAGCTTTAGGGGTGTTTGAACTCAACTTTTAATGAATTAACATACCAAATTAACTGAATAAACCAAAAAATATTTAATATTTAATATATATTATTTATAAATTTTGGTTAATTAGGTTAATGGGGAAAAATCGATTAATGAAATTTGGGTAATTCGGTTCAGTCGATTAACCGAATTACCCGTTTGAACACCCCTAGTTACAAATGAGTTGTTATATAAATGCAAGACGACGTCGTTATGGTGAAATTTTTATTTTTCTAAAATGGCGTCATTTTAACGCCATTAAATATTTAACGGTTAAGTGTCAAAAAATGCTAATTGTATTAAATTCAGTGAAGAAATTGAACGAATTTAAATTACAATGAGTGAAATAGGAGAGAGTAAAGTTCATTGATGATTGGTGTAATTTACCCTTTATTATAAGGCAACGGAAAGCATTTTTTCTATTAGGGGAAGTAATTATGATCCCTTGATCTTCTCGTATGAATAGACCCTTTTCTTTGTGTGTTGTAGTTTAATGGAACAAAAGGTAGAAATTCAATGGTGAAAAATACTGTACGTGTAGTAGGGGTGACAAAATTTTCCGGCGGAGAAAAAAAAAAGGATCTTTTCTTTACAAACAGAGAAAATGAACTCTGCCTGGAAACATCACGAGAAGCTATTTATAAATGACCTGACATTGATTTCCAGGAAAATTCAGCAGCTCAGTGCCTCGTACTTCACTGAAATTGGACGATTAAACCCGGCTTGTGATAGCAGATTCCCAACTGCAGCAAGATCCCTGCAAAATACACCTTGAAACGCATTTGCATTGGATGTAGTTGTTATTGCTGCTTTGTTTTCACTCGAATTGACCCCATCTTTGCAACCCGAAAAATCCGAGAAATTTGTCGAAGAAACGTGACTATTTCCAGGTTCCGATTTGGAAGTCGAATACTGGGATTGCTGCACCTGGATTGCAGCCTGTGCTGCTTGTAAAGCAGCTGCAGCTTTCTTCCTTTGCTTCTTAGCCGCTTCTTCATCCATAATAGTAGCCATCACGCTCAAATAGCCCTTCTGAAGCAATCTACAAAGAAGTGAAGCCGACATCTTGGCTCTGTCTTTAACCGGATCGAGGTCACGCTCATCGGTCAGCTCACATCGATCAATGAAGCTAATAGCTTTATCCTGCTTGTGCCTTAAACATAGCAGCAAATGTGCCCTCTCTAATTCAGACCTTGAGCATCCACGCTTCAAACCAATCAGTGCATAGTAATCAACATTTGCAGTCTCACCAGAAGCAACCCTTTGCTTCAACCGTTGAATTTTAGCCGTTAATGCGCAAAGCTTCCCCGGAATCTCCCTGTAACTTACGTCGCGACGTTTCAAGGCAGGACCTGGAAGCTTCCTATCTCGCAGTATGGAATTGTAAAGGATTTTCAAGTGTTCAAGGTCGTGTAAACAGTCGGGCAAACACCTTATGGTTTCCAAAAGTGAGGCCCTGGTTTCAAGTGCTTGAATGGAAGTAGGGTCCAGAGCAAGGGTCTTGTTACAATCCGAAATTGAATCCGCTATGCGACCCGAGGCCTTGTAGGCCGTGGCTCGATTCATGTAACATTCTGCAAGGAACCCCTGAGGGGCATGGCGGCGACCATCGACAATTTTAGAGAAATGGCGAATGGCTTCGGAGTATAGACCGGCATCCAAGGAGGCGATGGCGGCAGTTCGACGGCGGACGAGGAGCTTGATGTGGGATAGAAGGCTGGAAATGTTTTCGGACTGGGAGACAGAGGTGGCATTGCGTGGTGGTGGCGTTGCAGTAGAGGAGACATCGGCTGTAGTGATAATGGCGGGGAAGGAGAAATTGTCATCGGACCAGCAAATGCTTTCGCGGCGGAACGCGGCTGAGGCTAGGCGTTTGCCGGTTTGTAGCAGAATCATGGCGTCCTCCATTAAGCCTAGATGGCAACATGCTTGGCCGAGAATCAAGTACCTGATAATCAAAATCATTATTAAAATTACTTAGCTGCCCTTTATGTACCTAATTTATTAGTGTATTAAAGGCAAACTAGCAAGGCATGGACTTTAAGCAAAGTGAAAATGCTAGGCAAATTCCAATAAGGCTGACGGTGTTCTGTATTTAACTATTTCATCAAAACTAGAACACAAAAGGAGTGATTATTTTACCTCCAGTTCCCTTCTTTCTCGCAATTTTTACGCAACCCAGCCATGACCTTCTTCTTCAAGTCCGAGACAGGGAAACACTTGAAAGATGAGTCACGACCCGGTGAGTCAGAGGACGAGTTACTAGAAGCGAGAAGCTTGACTCGCTCCCTTGAAAACATCTGAGACGAGTTATCCGAGTAAATCGAGCCCGAGTCCTCACTCGACATGTTGAGACTGGGAATAAAATCTTGAAGCATGTCAGCAACGTCCCAGAATCGTCTCAGACAGAGCAGAGATCTCGCTTTGAGTTCCAGAGCGATCTCGGAACGAGGCGAGAGAGCCAACGCTGCATCAAGAAGAACGAGGGCCGAAGCGATGTCGTTTGGTTCTTGCGTAGAGATAAGGCACCTGGCATCCTTAATGTACTTATCTACAAGCTGCATACAGATCAAAAAGAATGAAAACCCCATTTCACATTTCAGAAGAAATAAAAAGAACGAAAGTCAATGGAGGTAAAAAAAAAACCTTTCTATTGGTAATCCACCAGTGTTTCTTCTGAACGGTGCCGCTGGAACATGGAGAAACAGCCATGCTTGCCTTTTCTTTGCAGTAACGCTTGTTGAGGAAGTATCAGAATCAATCGACCATAACCTCTCTCTTCCTCTCGAAGCTTGGACCTTTTCTTCACGTCCCCAAATAAATGAGAAGGAAGAATCTCTGCGTGTGTGTATATATAGTGGGGAAAAATGAGATTGTGACCCTGTGGGAACAATTGGATATAAAATAGGTTCGGTATTTGAATTTGACCCTGAATTAAATATGTTACTATCGGTTAAGTAAATAAAAAATATAAAAATTACAATTAGGTATAAGAATTTTCATTTATACCCTGAGTTATTCGAAATCTAATCTAAAATAAATATTAATTCGATAATTAAGTACGACCAGCTGCCTTTTAAAACCAAAAACTAGAGATGGCTTCCTATCCTTTAAAAATAAATTTTAGTAATGGTCAAATTCGGTAGAAGGTACTTGTACTTTATGGATTTAATTTATCTTTTATAATGTATCTTTTTATTTCTAAAGATGTGTATTCTTAATTTTAAGTTTAATTTTTTGTTAATTCCATCAAATAATTTCACGTAACTTATTGTTTCGTACAAGTTGATTGTGTCACATGTCTTTAAATTGTTATTCACATTTTATATTGGTCTTTAAACTTTTAAATATTCCAATTTCATCCCTAAACCGTGACTATCATTCTTAATTCATCCTCAAAGTTTTAAACATTCCAATCTTATCCCCCAGACTACGACCCTATCATTCTTAATTCATCCTCAAAGTTTTAAACATTCCAATCTTATCCCCCAGACTACGACCTCTACTCTAAATTGGTCCTCAAACTTTTTTATCATTTCAATTTCATCCCAAACTAAATGTATATACTAATCAAATCCATTGTTAATAAAATCGTTAGGCCAATTATATTATTTTATGTTTGAAAGAATTAAAATTTAGGTAAAACTATGGTGGAAACCAATTATATGCTTGGATAAATATGGGGATGAAATTGGAAGATTCAAAAGTTTGGGGACTAACTTAGAATGAGGTTTATAGTTTATGAGTGAAATTAAAATATTTAAAAGTTTAATGACCACTTTAAAATTTGGAGTCATAATTGGGGACGCAGTGAAATTAACTCTTTTTGTACAGTTTTTTTTTTGCATATTTAAGAAACTATAGAAAATTAGAAAAAAATATTTGCTTAATTATATAACAAATTTCAGTGAATATGTGACATATTATTATATGTCTAAAAATAGTCTAAGAAATTAATTAAAAAGTTGACACCATGACTAAATATCCATATTTTTAAAAGTACATATTAGAAGTGATCAAATTATAATGAGAGTCGTAATTAATTTAAAAAGTTGACATCATGACTAAATATCCATATTCTTAAAAATATAGACTAGAAGTGATCAAATTAGAATATTCAAAAGTTTAAGGATTAATTTAGAATAAGTCACAATTTAAGAATACAATTAGAATATTTAAAAGTTTAAGGATCAATTTAAAATGAGAGTCATAGTTTGGGGACACGAGTGAAATTAACTGTTTTTGTTCAAATTTTTTTTTGCATATTTAAGAAAATATAGAAAATGAAAAAAAAAAGTATATTTGTTTAAGTTTAATTATGCAGCAAATGTCAGTGAATATATGTCTAAAAATACTCAAAGAAATTAATTTTACTAAATATGCATATTCTTAATTTTATAATTTATAAAATACAAAGAACCTTTTATAGAATTTAACCTTTTTAAAGTGAATTATAGAGTAAATTTCATGTGTCTGACCGGATAAAACCGGTGAACCATCACGGATCCTCGGGTTCAACAACCGGAGCGAGGAGAAAAGATACGGCAGCAGCAAGCTAAGTTGGCCCAAAAGGCAAGTAAAAGAGAGTATAAAAAGTTGCAGTTATTAATTTTCCGATAGCAATGGAATGACCGAAATCTCCTTTCGCTTTTTGTAAGATGTTGATTTTCTTGAGTGGTGTTTTGTTTTTCCAAACCCCATGAATTGTCATTAAGACATTTTGGTCCATATATTGGTAACGTAATTTGTGTGGGTCATGGGTTGGGTTTCGTGGGAGACTAAGAGTGGTGGTGACCACAAAATTTAAGGGTGAAGTGAAAGCTTATGCTGATTTTAATGGCTCAGGTATGGTCGGCTATAATTAGAGACGGCAACCCCGCGGAGTGGGACAGAATTTTTTTTCTTCTTAATATAAAAATAAGTACTTAAATTATACCCACATATAGGATGAAGACGATTAGGTTTTTCTCACAAGTGGAAGAGGTGACAATCACGACTGATCGGAGAAGTGTTAGACGGTAAGAGACAACGAACAATTTTTTACTACTTTTTGACGATTGAGGATCGATTTGGATAATTATTGGTCGGGGTTTAGGTCACGAGATGCCAGTGAAGCTGTTGGTGGTGGCGATGGCTTCGAAAAAGGGAAAAAGATTTTCTTTAAAAAAAATAATTATTTTTTAATTGGTTTAAATAATTTCTCAAAGTTATCATATCGTGACACATATTACTTAATGGAAAATTTAAAAGGCATATAACGCATGTTCATCGAAAAGCGTAACGAAAAAAACGTTATACACTTATTTTTAACGAAAAAAAATTAGGTACTAAAATATTTTTTGAGGCATAATTTTGACACTTATTTTTGTATTAAGTGAATTTTTTACCAGTCTTGATCTCGGTCTAATAATAACAATATAATTTAAATTTTATTTGTCTAAATCATATATTATAAACATTCATTCTTAGTGGTGATCTTCTTAATTTAATTAGTTTTATTAACAATATTATGATTCAAATTTTTAAGATCTAATATGTCATTGTACTAGACAAATTAGTTATTAGTTTTTTATTTAATTTTAGATAATAAAAATCCAACAAAATAATAAAATATGTGAATATCACATGAAATTGTGCTCCGATATTAATATAACCTAAAACCATTCAACCTGTCACAGAAAAAAAAACCATTAAAGACTTAAATTGATAAAAACATTTAACTTCAAGAACTAAGGGGTTGTTTGTTTGCTTCTTAATAGAATCATTTAACGTTGAATGTTGAACTGTTTAGCATTCAGCGTTTTTGTTTCGTACCTCTGAATGATTCAGTGTTGAATGATTCAGCACAGAAGTACATTCTGAATGATTCAGAGTCATTATCAAATAATATGTCATATTCAGAGCTAATTCATACAGAACCTCTGAATCGTTCAACACTTAATTATTCTGAAATAAACAAACATCCCCTAAGTGTTGTTATATCCATATATACAGGTCACTTATTACTGTACTACAGCTCCTCCTCAACATGTCAGCTGATGACCTAGCCTGTTCCACGTGTCGTAGACTCAATATACGGCCCCACATTACTTGCTTCCAGATGGGCAAAAGAGTACTTTCGACGTCGGCTTTGGCCCTTGTTTTGACTTTTGAGACCACCTCTTTTATTTATTATTGTATTTTATCATCACACCTGGCCATTAGTGCCAATAATTTTATTTTTTTCTAATAATAACCTCGAATTAATTGTTGAGTTGAGAATTCAGATTTTAGACCACCATCAAGCATAAAACCGCAATCCAGGAAAAAGAAAAGAGAATAACAATATTCATACAACAATGAATGGGAAATATGGTCTATGTATTAAAACAATAATGAGCTTTTTATTTAACTGATTGCTTCGACCAACAAGTATTTTATTATTGAAATTTATTTACTAAAACAATTCATACAAATCATAAACATAAGCAAGTAAGTAAACATATTCATGATGCATACATATTACATAAGTACACATGGGTGTTGAAGTTAAGGTTTCAATTATTAACCCATTTAGAAGGTGTCTCGATGCAAATCGAAGTTTTCAAAGTTTCATATATTTCGATCGCTCATCTCTTAACGAGGATATTGATAAACCCAAAAATTCTATTAAGACGTATCAACTTATCCTATCTGCTTACATATAACTATTATAATCCTATGCTTGATATCAATACTAAGAGGGCATTTAGATAAAGGAAAAAATCACTACTATAGGAAATAATATTTTCCGAAATTAGATATCCATGATTTAGGAGTATTCGCTCATGGTAATAAAACATTACCTACAATATTGTTTTTTGGCTTGAATTCATGGGAATGTCATAGCCCTTATTTTTATAGGTATTAAATAATTCTCTCCTTTTAGGACAAGAATGCCCATGAAACATTATGGCTATTTCAAAATGATCATTCCTTTTGTACATAATTACATTGGTATAAACATAATTTTTATCGTGGTTCTAAATTTTTAATACTTATTATAAAAAATAATAATATGTGCATATAACAAAAAGTAAAAATAAAATAATTTTTTTTTATTTTGAGTATTTATTATATGTTTGATTCAAGTTTTATTTTTCATATGTATTTTATTATTTATACTTTTTAGGATTAATTTTTATAAAATGTTTTCTTTATTATATTTTTATGTTTTCTATTAATTTTGTCAAATAATTTGATATGATATTGTGTTGTACAACTCATACATGTAGCATGAATAAAATAAAATAAAATAAAAATCAACAATTAACACAAACTTACACGGGTATAAGTATGTTCAGCTCCCAATATCTTGGTTCCAAAAAATAAATACATAATTATATTGGTGTATGTGTATTTTTTGTACTTTCAAATAAATAAAGATTTAAAGATAATATATATATATATATATATATATTAAGTTGTTTGTGTACAAATTTTATTAAAAAAATATAAATTAAAAATAATAGAAAAATATATTTTCTATGAACTTTTATTTAAATGTTTTGACTTTAATGTCAAGAATTCAACTTGTTAAAAATAAAATATACCTCAAGGATAATTTGGTAAAACATACATTTTTTATGTCTTATGTTCATTAATTCAAACACTATAATCTTACATTCATGTCAAATAAATCATGCAAAGTAATACAACATTTCCAGTAATATGTTAAGTAATGTAACATTTCGATAATCTTTTTAACAAAAATAATCTTACAATTCATGAACCAAACGACCCTTAAGGGTATATAAGACTGAGGTAAAGATCTCGCACCTCTCTCTCTTACATGCCGCACCGTCTTCTGCTCACAATTAAATAT